GGATTTAGCTCAGCGGCAAAGCGCCTGCCTGGCAAGCGCAAGGTCGTGAGTTCGGTTCCTGGTACCGGAGAAAAACCAAAAAAAAAAAAAAACAAAAAAAAAAGACAAATTATCCTTTTATTATCTACCTATCTGCTTGAGAAAAAAGAAGTCAAGGAGACAATTGCCCTATATATATGGACATCCTTTATATTCATATTCCAGAAAAAGAAAACTTGAAGCCAGGGAATTGTTAGAAGTAGACCAGATGCTCTCTAAATCACTTGAAAACTATCTACCCCAAACTCCTTCTTCATTGATAAGGTTTTGAGATGTAAACACAATTATGTCACTGAACAAATGTCATTGATAATAAATGTCCAGATAATAAAAAGCAGGGCAAAAATAAAAGTTTCATCACATTCAGTCCAGTGTTCCCTCCCAGATAGATTCTACCAACCCTTCCAAAAAAGGAAAAAGGATGCATTCCAGTAAATGAATTGCTTCTAAAATGTAGACCTGAGGAAATAGACCTAATGTGAAGCAAGAGAAACCTGAAACTTCATCATAAATTTTACAAATGTATCTTTAGAAAGAAAGTGAATGAAATCAATAGAGCTCTACAACTAACTTTAAAGGCCCACGGGTAACCAAAACAAGTAGAATGCAGTTACCATCTGAGAGAGAAACAGTGATATGCTGGAAAAACTATTGTTAGGACCAATTATATTTTTGCTCGAAGATATAGTCAAAGTGGATCATTAAATTAAGTCATTAAACTGAAAGAGGTGCAATACACTTATAGATTCTAGGACCCAATCTTAACCTTAAGAGACTTTCCAACATAAACAAGATAAAACATACTGTAATGATTGAACAGTGGAGATGTGGGGGAAATTGACAGTATCTTCATAAGAGTCTCAAAAACTATGATTACTGGAATTGAAAATGGAGAGAAGAATGGAATAAATGGGAATGGAATGGGAAAGGGAGGAAGATTAGCACACTGATTTGCCTTAGAGATGATTAATGATTATCCATATGAGCACAGCCTGAGCTGCCCCTGGCTTTCTGTTTCTCTGCAGAGATATAATTAAGAATTGCACATTATGCACCTTAATGGAATTCTCTTCTCCTTAAAAAGAAACAATAAAGCAAAATAATACACTGACAATTTTTAACTCTCCTTGAATAAATTAGTATTTTCCTGGTCAGTAGGCATAGTGTTTTGTTTTGTTTTGTTTTCTTCATAAACATTGACAATTTTGGAATGAGATCCCTGTCCACTAGGGATATTTCTACCAGTGTTTTGGTTTGTTCCACAATTTTAAGTGCTGTCATCTAGTGCACATAATATCCATTAAAATGTTTTTAGATCAATATCATAATGCAAACATTTGATGTTTTACAGTGTAAGACCTATTTTAAAATATAGAGATATACAGTATCCAGTTAAGAAGCAAAAGACTTTAAACAATAATTTCTAAATGATTTAAAACCTGGACAAATACATAATCCAACAGGTCAAAGGCCAGGACTTCTGCCATCTTTCCTATTTAAAAGAGGGATCCACAATCAAAGCAATTATGCTATTACTATGAACATAGTCTGTGGTTTTAATCAAAACTGTACATCATACTATTTTCATTTATTTCATGGAAAAATTCACATTTGTAAGAATGCTACACTTTCCTCCAAATAGAAAACTCAAGAAATTCCATTCAAGATCGGATTTCAACATCAGCACACGCAGTTATCAACCTTTAAATTTTCATAATACTGTTTTTGAATAGACATAAACAACCCATTTTACATAACATCAGCTCACACACTCATTCAGTGCCTACTCATTCAATAAAATGTGAAATAGAATCTTTTTCATGCCCCAAACCTCATTTGCAATAATGAGCAACAGTTAAGCAAGAAAAGCTTCATAATTAATGTCAAATTGGCCTTAAATTAAGGCTTGTAGCTGAGACTTCTAAAAAGTCTGTCCTGTCACCTCTTTTGCTAAGTGGCACTATAGTATCCAAAGATTAAAAACCACTCCATTTTTTCTTAAAAATGTAAATTTTAAGTCATCTTTAATCAAGACCAGTGTGCTGAGGTTATGCTTTCTGATTGTTTTCCTGGTATGGGAAACACATCTCTTCAGCCCCGGGGGGGCTTATGTGTGGTTTCTACATTATGATGACTCTAGTTGAAATGGACAATCCACTGTCTCATTGTGCCATCACGGGCCCAGTAAATGAATAATACACAGGGAGACAGGAAAAGGAAAGCAGTCCTTGTTGAATGGCTTCGGACTTAACCCACAAAACCAACTGGGACTCTTTTGAAGGGACCCGTGGCCACACAGCCATTTCTGAGATTTCTTACAAATTGACAAAACTCACCTCCCAGTACCAATCTGAGCCCCTCTGGAATCCATAACAAAGGGAAAACTAATACTATCAATTTGGTTTTTCTTTAAACTGTTGATTTTTTTTCTTTCATTAATACTGGCTTTTAATACATTGCATTAATATATTACTTTTCCTAATTATCAATTATTTTGGTGAACCATAAATTTTGTAGTCAAGATGATTGTCTGGCTAGCCTCATGTAGACCCAGCCCTGTTCCATCCACCTGTGAATGCACAGAAGGTGTTTGTTTGACAGAGTGCAGGAACTGTCTTCCAGGCCTCTCAGAGCTTTGGGCATTTGCTGACCCCACCCAAACTTTTTAAACTATCTTCCTTCCAAAAGATACCACCCTGGGTTATCATTTCCTAAAGTTTCTCTTGGTACATCTATTTTAGATTATCATTTTGCTCATGGCCCTGTGTTTTCACAATTTCCCTGTAAGCAATTCAAGAGCAAAGAGTGATTAGGGAAACTGATCCATTCACACGAGGGGCATGAATGGATGAATGATACTTTCAAGTCTCTGGAAGAAATGTTCATTTTCTCCAATAATGTTTTCTGTAAGATGACTCAGGGAGGGTGGTACTCAAAGAATCAAAAAGAATAATAAACATGTCTGTAGATTAGCAGTGTAATGTGTAATTCATGGCATTCATTTTGGACCAGAAAGACTCAAACACACTTGGATGAACACCTCCTCATACTTAGAGACCATTTGTTCAGATTTTACTTTGTTTTTCTACTGGATTGGTTTTTTGTTGGATCTGGGGTTTTGTTTTGTACCGAGGATCAAACACAGGGCACCCATCACTGAGCTATATCAAACTTTTTTTATTTATTTGGAGCCAGCATCTCACTAAAATGCCCACACAGGACCCAAATTTTCTATCCCCTGCCTCAGTCTCCCTTAGTGTTGGAATGGACCACCACACCTGACTTGTGTTCTTTTTGATTGAAGGGTTTAGTCGATATTTTCTTTATTCAAAGATGTGCTTGAGGGGCTGGGGATTTAGCTCAGCAGCAAAAGCGCCTGCCTGGCAAGCGCAAGGTCGTGAGTTCGGTTCCCGGTATCGGAGAAAATCAAAAAAACAAAACAAAAAAAAAAAAAACAACAACAAAGATGTGCTTGACACTTTGAAGATATCAATGCGTAATACAACAAGCATTGTTAATTTCCTACCACTTTGTTTGTAACTCTGTATTGTCTGTACTGTTCTTTTGCTATTTTATAGAAGTTGTCTGTCTGTTAATGTTTTCCTCCTTTTATTTTTAAAATTTAAAAAAAAAAAAAGATGTGGTTGATCAGAAGGCACATCATTACCTCGTAGAACACCTTCCCAGATGTATTCTGGCCGACTTTAAAAAATTACTGAAATGGAGAAAACGTGTCTGAAAATCTAAGAAAGCCGCAACACATTCTGGGCCTGTGCTCCTTGAAGCCACCGCTGCTGCTGCCCAGTGCCCTGTGTCCCCCGCCGGCAGAGGACTTGGCACAGGCTTGTGCTCCTGTCCCCACCGAGTCTCGTCACAGTTGGTTTAGCAGTGACACAGTTTTTTTGTCACTTCTTCCCCACTGCTTTTTGGAGGCAGAAACTATGTTTTCTTTGCAGAGAAGAGCACAGCTCACAAATGTTTTTCATAAGCATTCATCAATCAGTGGATGAATGAATGGCCCTTCGTATCTCTACAGATAACACATTTTCTGCACAGAAACATCTGCAAACTATTGAAGGATAATTATCCAAATAATTTTAAAAATTAAGTGCACTTTTGTTCATTGTAGAAAATGTATCCAGTGTGTATGTTGATGTTTCCCTTCTTACACATCCACTTTCCACCCCTTCTCTTTTTCCCTCTAGGGGTTCTTTAGGAGGAGCCAGCAGAACAATGCCTCCTACTCCTGCCCTAGGCAGAGAAACTGCTTGATTGACAGGACCAACCGAAACCGTTGCCAACACTGCCGACTGCAGAAGTGTCTTGCCCTAGGAATGTCGAGAGATGGTAAGGGGTTTACCTGCCTATTTCTTACTTGAGGGTTTTCAAATGGATGCTTCATTCGGTCTCTTTAAACCACTGGAAGAATTTAAATGAGGGAAATGGGGATAAGAAGAAAAGGGAACCATAGTGCAGGTAATGAATTAAGAGGCAAAGTTAAGAATGCTATATAATATAGAATATTGCCTATAGAATAAGAAGGGAAGACTGCACTGCATCTCATGGACCAACCTGTGCCATCTGGATGAACTAAAAGCTACACGGGCCTAGGTTGGGCGTGACCATACATGACGTTTACCAGGGAGTAAGGTATGTCCTGAGATGTGAGACTTTCAGAGCTAAAACTGGAAAGTTCCCAGCAAACAGGGACCATGCAGTTCCTGGGAAAATCTTACTGGTATACAAATTGCTTAGAGGAAAATGCCACGCAGCAGAATACGGATGTATAGGAAGCTGGCAAGCTTGGCTGGCTGTTCATAGGTACCCAGTTAATAGTTTGCACCATTCTAATCCATGGTAGAAACTGTGAAAGCTACAAGGCTTAGAAGGTGTACGTAGGAATCAGGCAAGGTGGCACATCCCTATAATCTTAGGATTCTGGGAGGCTGAGATAGGCGAATCACTAGATTGAACCCAACCTGGCCAACTCGCCAGCATAGCAAGACCCTGTCTCAAAATAGAAATCCAAAAGCCTAGAGATATTATTGGGTGTATAGGTTCTAGATTCAATCCCTAGTACTGAAAAAAAAATCTTCCAGGAAACAGAAGAATCTATAATAATGTTGCTCAGTGGTAGAGCACTTGCCTAGCATGTGTGAGGCTGTGGGTTCAATTCCCAGTATCCCTCCACCAAACAATAAGGGTTGTATAGACAGTGTACACAAGTGCACACTCCTCCTCCAGGCCAACAAAATTGGATAGCCTGGCTCCCCACCCAAAAGAAGACAAACTCAAATAAGATGAACAAATAATTTTACTAGCTTCCATTTTTCAGCACTCATATACATTAATTCTTTCCCCATTGAGATTAGACAGTTCTCACGTAGAAGATTATAAATGGCCCTGAGTTCTGGGGCCATTTCTGTCTTGTTTCCACGGTATCCTTAAGGTCTGATTAAAAGCAGGTGCATAAGCATGTACTGAATGAACAATGGAATTCTTTTCCACCTCTAATTGAGAGACAGATAATGTCCTGATAACTCAGTCTTTTTATGTGAATCACGGTGGAGTCTGTGCCTCCAAAATAAATACAAAGACAGAAACTTCCAAGTTTAAAAATTATATATATGTAATTGATATGCACTTTCCCTTAGTATAAAGGGATATAATGTGTTATTATGGTTCTTTTTTTTTTACCTGTGCTCTAATTTACAATCAACCTAAAATTATCTTGTACAAATATGTACCTCTAAGACAAACTGGATCAAAAAAAAATTAGAAAGAATTTGACCTTCAGAATTATAGTTCATAAACAGCTTCTAAAGCTACAGATCAAGTCTCCAAAACTTCCCTATTAGCTAAATTTTTTGTTTTATTTGTCTTCCCTGGGCTCACTAACCACATAAATTTACTCCTAGGGTAGATTGACAGTGCTGTGCTGTTTTTACATAACAGAGGCAAATAAAGGGGAGGGTTACGTGGTTTTCAGGATTTATTTAGAGAAAATCTATGGGAATTACACATGATGACTTTGCACTTCATTTCTCCCATATGAAGGCCACATATCAATTAACAGTATCTAGAAAACCCCACTACTAATTGCACAACGGGTAAGCTACTGGATATATAGATGTCCCTCATTTAACAACCTACCTGTTTAACAGCTGTTTGGACTTAGGACCTGCTTCTCAGGCTTGTTACCCATCTTTTTTTGTACACTTCTGTACATCTTGTTTACAGGGCCTTAATGTCTTTTTTTGTACAATAGACCTTGTTTACTGTACTGTAATTTTTGCTAATCATACAGATGATATAGTGGAGCACTGCAGTTTTATGTTCTGATATATACCATAGTACTGCATGTAAGAGTTATGCAAATAAAAACAAAGTCATCAAGTTGTAGCGCCTTTGGCCGTTTCTTTGCTCTGAATATTGTAATGTATGTACTATAGACAATTCCTCACTTAGCGACCAAGTCACTTAACGACCCAGTGGAGGGAACGGGACTTGGTCATTAAACAAGGAATGTCTATATTTATTTTTGTGACCTTTTCCTACAGTCAAAGAAAGATCTCTTCTGGAATGGCAGGTCTGCGGTCTGTGCCAGACAAGACACGACTCTATGTCCCAGGGCACAATCAGCAGACTCAGGGTCTTCAACCCACCAAGTCTAAGAGATTTGTTAATCCCATTACCTAAAGAAATGTGTTGAGAGTATTACTTAATGTATACAGCCACAGTCTGTTCTCAAGGAGGACGAAACTTACTGCAGCACGTACTCTTCTATGCAGATAAAAGCGACACAATATCTTAGGACACTGGGGAGTAAGGACAGTGCTCCATTTGAACTTTAGACCCAGAGGCCATCCTCAGATGGCCTGCAACATCTCCCCAAGTGCCTGCTAAATACATCTTTCGTCAAACTAATCATGAAGAAAAATGATAGGGGTAGGAGTGGTAGTTGGAAATGTGAAGAAGTGGCTCAAGAAGATACACACAGCCTCTCTGTCTGTCTGTCTCTCTCTGTCTCTGTCTCTGTCTGTCTGTCTCTGTCTGTCTGTCTCTCTCTCTCTCTCTCTCTCTCTCTCTCTCTCAGAAAAAAGCCTCTTCTTTACCATGTCAAATAGAGGAAGTTAGCCACAACCTTGATTATAAAGAGTCCATTACACCAAACAAATCATACTAATACCTGGAGGTTGATCAAGCTTTAGCAGCTGTTGAAAAGTTATGCCAAGAATATGGTATTGAATTCAAGAGTCTTGAACTTATGGTGCATTCACAGTGTGTAGTCAGAAGTCCAAAATGACAGTTGAACTTTTTCCCACCACTCTTTTTATATCCCTTTCGTCTACTCACTAAGCAAATACTTTCAAAGTGCTTTAGCAGTATTACCAAAACCAAGGTGAAATATCGTCACTCTTAGCTCGTTTACAACCCTCTCCCTTCCCTCAGAGACGCAGTAGAGCATGTTCACTCCATTTTATACACTTTTGTACAATTTAATTAGAATGTTTTAAAATCTAGACTGTGTCCTTTTCAATGGCACACCTATATAAAAAGACAGAGGTTGCCTACAAGGACAGGTTGCATAGATCAAGCTTCTTCTGTTCACTATATCGTCCAACCACATGTCACCATTTAAATCATTTGCATTTCAGTTCATTACAATGAAATAAGACTTAAAATTTATCCTTTAACCACACGAGCTGTATATTAACTGCTTGACAGCCACATGTGCTTGTGGGTACGATACTGGAAATTATAAAGAACATTCTTTCAACCCTAGAAGTTCTGCTAGAGAAAAAGTAGGAAATGACGGAGTTCAAAACAATAGTGCTGTGTAGACTGAGACTTCTAATACATAATCTAGATCACTAAAGGGGGACAGGCATATCTCTGAAGCTGAAAAGTTAGATTTAGACCAATTTAACTGGTAAGCAGAAAGATATAAGTATGAGGAATTTCATGATTGAAGGGAGTAAGATAGGATAATTTCCCAAAATGGCCATACAAAGCCGTACAGCTGGGTTATCTTAAATCCAAAAATACCTGTCCAGGTGTCATATAATAAGTAGAAACCTTTGAAAGGCAATGACTTTATGTTTCAGCTATTCTGAAAACTTCCATTCAAGTGAATCCTACATTCCAAGTAAAGATGAAGTGATTTCTGATACTTCTGCATGAAATTATTCTTTGTCAACATGAGATTGAAATGGGCATTAAAAGCATATCATGAACAAACACCATCATTACTGAATATTTATAAAGTACATGCAATGTATACAGAATTGTGCTCGTTTCTTTATAAGAGGTAGCAGTTTAGCAAGAGGTGGTGTTGATACTCAAGTGAATGTCATTAATGGAATAATTCAAGTTTGAGAGGGGCAAACACTTAACATACATGCTAGTCTCGTCAATGAATAGTGATAAGAAGAACAAAAATACTTAAAAATATAATAGCAGTATGGCCTTTATTGAAGCAGGTCTATGAATGCAAGAAACGTATTTATGAATAGTGACAAAGAATTATTTATATGTCATGAATGTTTGGTAGCTTTATTCTTGCCATGCACTGTAATTCTTCCCCAAATATGTCAACAGTTTTATTGCAGAAAGAGATGTAAAACTGAAATACTGATGAGCCAGTGTTTCTGAATTGAATGGAAAATTCATTCTAAGATGGTATTACAGGCATTGTTAGGGAAGTCCTCGGTTTGGGATGAACTTGATAATTCTAAAATGTAGTGGAGCTTTAAGTTGTTTCTTTCTAAACATACATTGTTCTATGAACTAATAAGTGGATTTCTTAGAGAAGGCATATCTTTTCTCTGTTGAATTTTTAGACTTTTAGCAGAGCAGAGCCCATGGCAGCAGACTTTTTTTGACATTATTAGCTCTAATTATGATGACTGTGGTTAGCACCATAATTCTGCCTGCGTCAGCAGCAGGTCAGCTCTTGGGGTCAGCAGTCACCAGTGGCCATCTGGGGGGACTGAGGAAGCACAGACAGCGTTCATGTACTTTGACGCCAGCTAGCTCAGGAATCCCCCTGTCAAGCTAAGGTACCTGATCTCATGCATCCTTTTCAAATCCATTTGTATTACGTGTGTTAACATCATCTTGATCCAGGGCAGGTCTCCTGACTATGAGTCCAGAGCTGGGAAACGTGCCTGCCCAGAATGAAAAGAAATAGGTGAGAGGAATTATAGTCATCAATACAACAAATCTGCTGCAAGGTGTATTTCACCCAAATATAGAGCATATAGAAACCTAAAGCAATGAAAATTGTTTTTACAATAAACACTACATTTCTGTTTCCAAATTAAAAGAGTTTCTCATTCTAAATTCTAGTTCTTGGAAACTTTAAACAAATATATGCACAACTATTCCATCAAAATAAGTCAGAAAGTAGATCTGCACTTCCATAGACCCCAAAAAAGTAATCTATAGTGATAGAAATAGTGCTTGTACTCACCTTTGTAACTCTGCAACAAACAGCTGCTCTGAACCTACATGAATGGAAAGGACAAAAGGGTGCAGATAAAGAAGTGTGTCACGGCATTTGCTTGGGGGAAGTAATCTTTCTGAATCAATATTTGTTATCATTTACTTTTCATCATACAAAAAGGCTTTATTCCCCTAGAGAATAATATAAATTATTTGGAAAGGCTCATATGAATGTACAGAGAAAGCTTTGCCTAATAGTTACTGTAGAATTCTACTCAAAGACAAACTGGAAGTATCACTGCAGTTTGCAAGTAAATAAAGTTGTCTCCAAGAAACAAAATCTAATAAAGGCAGTGTCTCTACAAACAAAGTGAAACACAATGACTTCAATGATTCAAGACCCAGTAGAAGCAAGAACTGAGATGGAAAGGAGACTCTTATGGGAATTAATCAAATTGCTTGTCTTCATTCATAAAAATTACTGGATAATTACCACTTCATTTTCCTACTTAGCATCAGAAAGCCAGAATATAAGACCTTTTTTTGTTTTGAAAGATTAAGGAGAAATAGACAGAGTTCAAGCTGTTCTATTTCCAGCCCTCACACCTAGTTTACAGCTGGCCAGAAGGAGGAAAATGTATGCCCCTTCACCCGGAAGTGTATGCAACCCTTGCATTTACTTCCTGCTCATCAGAGTTTAATCACATACCCATATCAGTCAAGAAATGCATCCCTTCTTAACAGTCCATGTGCAGATAAAATTTGGTAGCTCTATACCCAATGGAAGGAGAACAGGAATTTTGGTGGAATGTTGTAGGGAGTGAATAGCAGCTCCCTCACAGCATGAATGTCTACTGTGGTCCTCTTCAGCTAGAAAATTCTCAAACACTTCACACTTTAGTTATTCTCAGAAAACAACTTACCTTAGCATCTGAATCCAGGAGCTAGACCTTTTTCCGCCCTCTGTTTGCTCCTTTCTACATTCTCTGAGCTCCCAGTGCCAGGTGGTGATAAGAACACTGCCACCAAGGAAAAGAAAACAGAAATGCAGAGGGGAGCCTCCAAGCTTGTCATAGTCCCCACCATTTGTGAGAGGTGAAGAGTGTGGGACAGTTCAGGCCAGGTAGCCTGGAGATGCAGGATGTTCACAGGCTGAAAATGAAGGTGACAACTTGTGAGGGAAAACGCCAGAATCCATAACAGTGCAGGAGGTTAGACTTCATGAGTTAAGCAACAACATATTGAAATATTGAAATGCATGTCTCTTTATATTACTCTATGACTATTTGCAGAGCCTCTTCTTCATTTTTCCTCAGAATAGCTGAGAATTTTGCCAGAAGAAATGGACAAAATAAAACTTGGAGCTAGTAGAACAAGGAAAGGTACTGACTTGGTTCCTTTGCTAGGCATTGGATGTACAAAGTTACTGCTTTCCAAAGGTCCTTATCTTTTATCCCCAAACCCAACAGAAGGTAAATGATGCATTTCAATTAAAATTAGGTTCATCACACTGCCATATTTCCTTGATCTTGCCCAATACTCTATTTGCAAATGAGTTCTAAAAGTGAAACAACAGGATCCTTTCTGATGATTATTGGCATCCCAATAATCACATTACCTAGGAGAGAAAACTTGTAATGAGCATTAGTAAACATTTCAATAGCTGGTATTAGCTGCTAGTGAGTGTGTGTGTGTGTGTGTGTGTGTGTGTGTCTGTGTGTGTGTGTCTGTGTACTGCACAAGTGGAAAAGAACGAGAAAATATACCTCTGACCTCATGGCAATGAGCAAAAACACAAATGCTTTTATTTGTCCCATCTTAGTGCTCTATGTTGGATCCTAAATGTCCCCCAGAGGTTTGTGTTAAAACCTTGGCCCCCAGGTTGTTGCTGTTGAGAGGTGATGTGAACTTGTAAGAGGGGGTGCATAGGGAGAAGTCTTAGGTCCTAGGGGTGCACCTGTGAAAGGGATAAGGGAAATCAAGGCCTTTCTCTTCCTTCTTGTTTGCTCCCCTGCCATGAGATGAGCAGCTTGCTGCACCGTACCCTCCCTCCATAACTTGCTGTCCCATCACAGATCCCAAAACAATGGGTCTCACAAGCCATGGACTACAACTTCCAAAACTGACAGCCAGCACAAACACTTGTCTTTATAAATTAACTAGGCTGGTACTTTTTACAGTGATGGGAAGCTGATTAACATGCTTAGATTTAGTTCTTCATTGACAAAAACCAGTAAAAATGCCCCCCCAAATTTATCCTGTTACTAACTGTAGAGTGCAAATGAAAGTTGTGGTGCTACAAGTTTGTCTACTTGATGTTGAAGGAACAAATATCCATGACCGTATGTGGTTAATCAGAAGGATAACCACAAGCCCCGTATTCTGTTTTTTCTCCAACCCAGCTGTGAAGTTCGGAAGGATGTCCAAGAAGCAAAGGGACAGCCTGTATGCAGAGGTGCAGAAGCACCAACAGCGACTGCAGGAGCAGCGGCAGCAGCAGAGCGGGGAGGCAGAGGCCCTCGCCAGGGTCTACAGTAACAGCATCAGCAATGGCCTGAGCAACCTGAGCAACGAGACCAGCGGCACTTACGCCAATGGGCACGTCATCGATCTGCCCAAGTCTGAGGGGTACTACAGCGTGGATTCTGGCCAGCCATCCCCCGATCAGTCAGGACTTGACATGACTGGGATTAAACAGATAAAGCAAGAACCCATCTATGACCTCACATCGGTACCTAACTTGTTTACCTATAGCTCTTTCAACAACGGGCAGTTAGCACCAGGCATAACCATGAGTGAAATCGGTAAGTGGATATGTCCTCCAACTTTTGTTTCTTGGAAATTCTGCTTTGAAGATGCATTATCCTAATTAGTGAGGCCATTCTCTTAGATCTAAGTGGAACTACTTCTACTGAGAAAATAAAATGATTTTAAAATATGCCCTAATAAAAATCATTGTTCCTTTGCCCCTTGAAATAAAGGCTTATTTCAAGCAAAGGAAAAGAGAAAAAATTATAAATAGAAAGATGCTATCTGTAAAGAAAGAACAGATGCTATCTGTTGAATTTGGGTTCTCACCAAAGGAAAAAAATGTTATTGGTATAAACAGGAAAATTTCAGCAAGTATCCAAAGCAACGCTATTCAAAGTGAAACAGCAAAAAAAGGCATAAAAACAACATGGAATAACCAAATGAACAGGGCCCTACTCTCGATGTAAGGTGACTAGAGGTAGAACTTAGCAAATGATTCCTGTTTCCCTCATTGTAAAAGCAGGATAGACTGGTAAAGCTCTCGGAAATCTATATTCAAGGATTCTAAATGATAGCAATGAAAAGAATATGGTCTGGAAGGTGACAGCACACAAGAATGACAAATAAGCTAGTAACAGCATGACAGAATTGGCAACCTGATCTTCCTCCCAACGCGACGCCCTTCAGTCCCTCCGGGCTGATCTTGAAGAGGCCCCGTCCTCCGCGAGCTCTCTTCTGACCTGTTGCCACTTTGTCTCACCCCATTACTCTCAAGAGTCTACTGAATGTTTAACCAGTTAATCTCATTAACTAACTGCCATAAAAATATTGATGTAGGTTTAGCTCATTACCCTCCTGGGTGACAGAGTCACACATGCACAGCAGCAGGAAGAGCTGAGCCCTCTACCGGCCTCTACCGTAGCATTCAGTGCACCGGGGGTGGGGAGCAGGCCCGAGTCAGGACCTCTAAGGCTCCTCACTCCCCAGCCAAGAGGCAGCACAGCACAGTCACCATGGGCACGGCTCCCTGTGTTGAAATCCTGGCTCTATGGTTTATTATTTCAGCCAGAGCAAGTTTCTCTTTCCCAGGTTACACCTCTTTAAAAAGGAGAAAGTATGAATTCATAGTTCACAGGGATGTTATAATATTTACAACACTTGGCAAGCACTCAATGATTCTTGCTATTATCATTTGGATGCCATGTGCTTAGTCACCTTCTTAATAGGGACCTACAGCCCACATGCATTTTAAATTAAGTTACTGCAAACACCTAGTGAAATCCACAGCTATATTCTTGGCTGCCAGTACTATCTGGTTGCAGAAATGATGTTCCAGGTGAACCTGGAATATTCTTTCTCCCTTGTAGCAGTTCAGCCCACTGACAGTGAGTAAAGTTGACAAAGCACCTGGAACAATTTTCACACCTGAGAGACACAGAGAACTAAATCTGCTATAATAACAAAAATATTCAATTATTGCTATTATCCATAATATTTTTACCTATTACAGCTGCTTCACCGACATCTACTTTCCACAAACATCTTTAAGAATAAGAAAAAATATGATTCCCATTTTACTACAGAAACAAATGTCTCTGGACGTGTCAGTGTCCTGTGGTCACTCCATGATGGAGCCTAAGTCCACTCCCAGCACTCTGATTCCAGTATCTTTGTGTTATCAGTTAAGCTCCTACTTGCTAGGGGTTTCACACTTATGACCTTCACTGTCACCTAGTAAAGATGAGCTTTTTAAGTGGAGGCGTCTAATCCTTCTAAGAGAGCATGTGAAAGAAGAAAATTTTAAAAGCCACCGCTTTTTGGCATTTATACTACTGAATATCTAAGTTCTTGACTATGCTATTGGCTCAGAACATGTTTAAATGGCAATAAAACAGAAACTCACCATTGCTGGACAATCTTCTGCCCCCTACCCAAACGGAAAGTATTCTAAAGGTACAGAAATCACAGTTTCCTTATGATTCAACACCAGTAGAAAGGATTATAGATGGAGAGCTACTGTCAAAACCATCAGGTCTGGGTTACCCTGGACAAGTCATTTCCCATCTGCAGCTCTCAGTCTATTTTTCTATAAGCTGATAGAGTGGGACTAGACAATCTCATGTCCAGACTTTCTGTAGACACTGACAAGCAAAACGAGCTAGCATATATTTTCCTTACTTGAAGATATCATTAGTCTATATAGATCTTTATGTATGCTGTAAATATTGGAGGCCTCTTTCATCAGCTTTAAGCAGCATAATTAGATTGTCTTGTGAGTGCTTTCAAATCTAGCGGATGGATAAGCCTCAATAATTGGCTTTCTTCAGATTTTATTAAAACAGCAATGCCACCTAGTGGACACAAACCCATTTGGTGAGACCAAATATAGGTACCTGTGGCAAGCCACAAAGTGGGATAGGCTGTCTTTCCACACTATGCAAAAAATCGCCAGTCATTTCACCAAAACACTAAGACCATGAGTATCATTGGGCAGCAAGTCATCATGGCATGGTGTGGCTAAGAGCACTGGTTCTAAGCCAAACTGCAAAGTTCAAAACTTGGCTGGGCCTTTTCTTCTAGACAATTTACCTGACCTTGCTGAGTCTCAGCTGTAAACCTGGACCAATAAAAGCCTCGTGTCTGTATGGGGGGAGGGGGTTGAGTAATTTAATATTTCATGACTTCTTAGGACAGCATCTGCCATGTTAGACATTATCATTATTAATGATATAATTGGTATTCTCATCATTTACTGGTTATTGGTGGTGATATAATTACCTTTTATTAGCAACTCTTGTCCTAACCAAGTGTCTTATAGTTCATGCTCGTAACAATCTTAGTATGCCTGCTATGTGTTTGCATGTCCATTTTACAGGTGAAAATACTGAGGCTCAGAAGTCACATAGTATTAAAAACAAAGAACACATGTGTGCCCAGGTCTAACTTTCAACAAAACCCATTCTTTTAACCTTTATAGTTTATTTCTGTGCACCAAAGCTAGTCCCTCCCAAGTCAACTGGCATTCCCACCACAGAACACCTTTGATATTTGCTGCCTGTGCCATCTCCCTCTAGGTGTTGGAAACTGAAGCTTACAGAATCTGCGGGTTCACATCTTGACTTGATTTCATTAATGGGCATCTCAGCCAATCTGGTTGATGACAAAGTGTCGTAGAAAGAACCCCATGTAGACAAATGAGAAAATACGATTTTAGCCACATCATTATAACTGGGTGAACTTAAGGTTATATTATACCAAACACTTTCTGACTTCATTCCAGGCTTCTAGAAGTCATGATCTGGTCGTTTGGCTCCTAGGATCATCTTAAAAACAAATTTTTAAATTTTTATCTATAATGTTTGCTTAGACGCCATCCATCCATTTATTTAAATTGTTTATTTACTGGTATGAGTCTGCAATGCATAGTAACTAAGTTCAGCGTGAAGAATGGCTACGTACACAGGGCGCATCTTAATCCCTTTTACTTCCCCTCCCCGCAGCCCTTCCCTCACCCCTCATGCCCAGGCCTCCTTTCTGTCCCCGCAGATGGCATGTGCTCAATGCCAGTTTTTAACTTAGCCTATACAGAATAATGTGCTACTGTTTTGAAATTTTTTTTTTTTTTTTTTGGTTTTTCTCCGGTACCGGGAACCGAACTCACAACCTTGCGCTTGCCAGGCAGGCACTTTGCCACTGAGCTAAATCCCCAGCCCCCTGTTTTGAAATTTTTAATAAAAAAGGTTTAGGAATCTTAACAAAACAATATAAGCAACCGCATGCAGCTCCTCACATCAATTATACGCATGTTACTGGAGTCAAGAATATCCCCCCCAAAAAAAATGCTTTCTAACCCAGAAAAAAACCTTTCTAAAAATACACCAAAGAAACTCAGATCTCCTAGAGAGTCCGACAGTCATGCTGTATTATGATGGAATATGTGGACATCCTTGTACACATCTCAGTCAGTTTGAGCTCCATACTGACACTCAGGTCAATGGGGAAGAAACCACCCTACGGTCCAGCTGAAAAGCATCAAGTGTCAGAAAGAATGAAGGATTTCCCTAGAGCACAGAATTAGTTAATCAGTTAATTCTACCTTCAGTCATTCTACTACCCTAGATGGCAGGGCACGCTCTCGACACCTATTTTTGAAATGTTCCATGCACGCAAAACAAGCAGCACATGGTTCTGCCCTTGTCCTCTAGGAGACAGACGGTAAAGTAAATACTGGCAGCATGGGGTGGGCAGCACTGGACATGTGGGAACAACGCTGTCCTGCAGTGAGAGGGCTGGCAGGGGTCGGTGACCCCAAGCCGCCCTTCTCATCAGCCAGCTTCTCTTCCCAGAATTTTAGGAAAGGAAGACAAAATAGGTAAGAGAACAGAAACCACGTGGAGCATTTCAGGAACTGCATCCTTGTGTTTTTCAAAACCTCAAAGGAGAAACAAGTCCTGAAACAAGAAGACAGGAAGAAGTTGCAAATTAATGTTTAGGCAGCAGTTTTAACAGGACTAGGCTGGAAATGCACCTCAAGTTGGCACGTTTGTTATATCTTTGGGGAGAACATTTTGCGGAGGTTGATAGAAGAAGCTAGCTAGTGGACCTGCAAACAAGCAGAAAAGGAATGTGGAACCTCTGCGTCTCCTTCCCAACCTTGGCTGTCAGATGGTTTAGGGGACTCTGTGAGCCAAGACACTTAATGAAAGCTCACTGGAGCTGCAGGTTGACTGACAGCAACTAGGAGGTGCCAGACAAGATAATTCAGACAGCCGGGCAGCATGCTTATGAAAAAGAAAAATATCCATCAAGTGTCCTTTAGGTCTCATGCTAAAGGAGATAAATTGCCTTTTACACACATCACCTCAGTTTGATGTTCTTTTTTCTTCTTCTTCTTCTTTTTCTTTTTTGAGGCAGTGTCTCACTAAATTGCTAAAGGGCCCAACCTGAGCTTGAACTTGCAATCCTCCTCCCTCTGGCTCCCAAAATGCTGGGATTACAGGCATGTGCCATCATGCCCACCTGAGTCTGCTACTGTGTGGAGTGATTTTTCTCTCCAGCTAAAGACAAGTTAATGTGATCCCCTCTTATATAGTCTTAAACATGGTTTATTTTTGTATTCCTATGGTGCTCTATTCATAAAGGCTGGAATTGTGAGTGTCAAAAATAGAAGTAAACCTCAGTTTTTAAATGCACCTGCTACAGAAGTTGAGTATTAATAGAATAGATCACTAAAGGGGTCTGGCCTAAAAGTGATTCTGCCGAAATTGCAAAGAAATTCAGGAAATATTACTAGTGGTGTTTTATTTGGCAGGGTACTATAAAAGTTGGTGATGTTTCACTTGTTGTTTATCAATGATCCCAAGCAAGTGCTATGAGCTTAAAGCAACACTTTTAATACTATATCCTTTGTCTTAATTACTTTTCTCATTGCTGGGACAAAATATCTGACACCCAACGGTAAGGAAGGAAATGTTTATTTAGCTCACAGTTTGTGGAGGTTTCAGCCCATAATCAGCTGACTCCAAAGCAGGGTGGCATGGTGAGGGGCAACAGTTCAGGGCGGCAGAAAACAGCAAAAGCAACAAGAGCACAAAAAAGAGAGAGCAAGCCTCCTTTTCTCCCTTATATTGTATGCCCTGGGGCAGGTACAGTGCTCACGCCATATCTGTGCCCTCCTCCTGCACGGGTTCAGGATATTCACAAAGTAAAGACCCTGGTCCCCTGCTGAGTCACTTCTAAACTTCTAAACTTCTCAAGTTGATACAGTAAACAACATCCTAGAGCAGGAAGGGCACATCCTCTACACACCAGGATGTAGAACTGCTGAGTTACTTAATGAAGCTTCTGGACTTCTCAAGATGACACAATGTATAAACCATTACATCTTTTTAAAGTGATTATTTTACAACTGCTTAAAAATATTATGCACAGTTAACTACTGATGCATAAATGGTAAAGAGAATAGAAGCTGATGCGCTGTGTATTTTCTACGTCTCAGATAGCATCTGTATCAAGTACAAGGAGGCATTCAGGTTAAAAGCAACTGTCTACTACGTCAATACAACAAATACAAGGAGACCAACTAGTGAGAAAAATTATTCAAACAGTGTGAGGGAAGGAAAGTCCAGTGGCTTGTGAACTTCCATTGCCTTCCAGCACCTAAATTACTTTTTCTTTAAAAAGTAAATGACTGAATGCATTGACTAAACTTCTAAAAGGAAGGTGAGGTTGAAGGAGGGACAGCTTCTGTCTCGGTTAACAATCAATCCATATGTCAACAAAATTCAAATACTGAAAATCAACTCTAATGGTGGCCCTGCGCAGTTTTTATAATTAGCTTTCATCATCTGTGACCCCCTCATTGTCCTTTCAGATGTGCGGAGGTGCAGTCTTTAAAGGGAGTAAGTAAAGATTTTAATGGACTCTGGGTTGCATTGTTTGTTTGTCCTGCCCAAGACTTTTTAGTGCTTTCAAGATTGTAAGCTGTACTCACCCTCCATAACCCTGTAGGACTTCTCCCTCATGAGTTAAAACAAAACAGAACAAAACTCCCATGGAACCTCTTAGACCCAAGTTGCCCTGCTTCACAGAGCCCTTAGAAAACATCACTGCTGCCAATTCTTCTGTGGTAGTGAAGCAAACCGTAAGAAACTAAGACCTGCGGAGGTTAAGTGACTCCCAAAGCACAAAATAAAGTCTTGAAAGGGGTTATGTCTGACTTCCTGCATCTAACCATAGGGCTGCCATAGAGCACATCAATTTCAGGCGATTTAAGTATGTTCATCTTTTCTGATTGTACTGTAGAGGAGGTCTTTTATTTAAAAAGTTAGCTTTGAAATAAAATGTGTTCATAATACATTCTTTTTCAATTTTTTCAACTAGTTTCAAGAAGGGAAACTGTAATTTCCCAAAACTTAGACATGCACCAATGCAACAAAACAAAACACTTGTGATTCAAAGGAGCTTTCCATTATTCAATAATTAAAAAGGCGTCCTTTTAGATACTTAATTTGTTTTTGCTGCCTGTGATCCACCCCCTTTGGATAAACTCTGCTGTCATACAAATGCTATGTCAGTCCTGACAATAGAATTTTCATGAAAAAGAGACTGAAATTTATTCTGATTCATTGAAAATTTAAAAAAAAATTCATTGAAAATAAATGAGTGGTTGGACCATGAACAGAGCTAATAGTATAGATTATTGATGCCCCTTCCCAGTTCTTAAAAGAATTTGAAAAGAATTTGAAAAACAAAAATGCTAAATCTATTTTCTTTTGAGGCTTATAGACCACCCACCGGTAGATTGCTGTCTTAAGCTTAAATGATATTTTTATTCTAACAGGAGAATTATATTTATGGAAAAGATCTGAAAAAATTTAAAAGGCCTTCAAGTGACACCCTCTTGTTTGACACTGTTACCTATAACAAACCACTAGGTTTGTTCTATTTAGTGACCAAAAAAACATAAAATTGTTGACCTAAGGCAAAAAAAGTAAAATGTGCATTTGATTAAGTTTCACCCTTCAACCACTTTACTCCATTGTAGTGCCTTCCTCAGAGAGTGGATCTGAGGACCCTTGATATCATGACCAGCTAATGGGGGAACTTAAAAAATGCCTTGAGCAAGTCCACAGAGATGCCTTGGCATTAATTCAAAGTGAATTCCCTTAGAATCTCACTCTTACACTAGCAGTACAAACTAAATAGAGAATTGAGCAGTTCTCCAGATGCAGATCCTCCAATGGAGAAGGCAAGTGATAAATTAAAATTTCATTAATCATTTTGATTGAAGCTAACAGTATTTTAGGAAGAATGTGTTCAGGTATTTTTTTACATCCCTTGTGGAGAAAAGTGAATAGGGGGCATAGTTCATCCACCAAGAAGAAACGATCCTTTTTTATAAGAAAAAAAGGAATTAAAAAGTTCAGAGGCAGCTCCCTCTAGAGCTATGTACAGCCTTGAATCTCTCAGCTTTTGTGCCTTGGTGCATTCGGGCCATGGGTGCTCTTGATAATAACACGGAAAGCAAGTTTTAAAGATACACTCACCTCTCCTCCCTCCCAAGGTGTGGGATTCCAGTGAAACCACCGGTGCAATCCGTGTCTGAGACACTGCAGCCTTTGGAAAGTGCCATTTGCTGAAATGTCTAGCGAGAGCTAAAATAAGCAGCTCTGGTGGAGAAAACCCACTGAGTGGTTTGAGATCAGAGCTGCCGAAGGTCACTTGCTATTTTTGTAGCTGCAAGCTGGTCCTCGTTGTATAACATCACAGATATAAACAAGAAATTGTCGCCTTACTTGTCAGTTTACTTCTTTGTCACCAAAATAAGCAAGAGGTAGCCCGTGTTCCGCATAGAATTAGGTAATTTGGATCACTTGTTTCCAAACTATGCTTTATTTTTAGATCCATATGCAGGAAAAGTTGTTTTTCCTATTTTTTTTAAACATGTCTTCAAAATAGTTTTCTTACATCCTTTTACATCATAGTACATGTTTGACCTTTAAAAGTCTACTTAGCTCTGCAAGCTGTATCACATACATCTCAACCACGCTGTACATGACTTAAAGAGGAGATTTGTTTCTTATCCTCTGATTTATTTAATACATCACAATGGAGAATATTGAGAATGGAGTAGTCAGCGTGGAAATATGAGAGTGCAGAAATAGAGAGAAAAAGGGGGGAGAGAGAGAGGATTATCTAAATACAGTACACGCAGAAAAGGAGGAGAGAGGTTAGTTCCAGCCCCAGGGTTCCATAATTATCATACACACTATTGAGAATTATCATCAATTTTATTCCATTTCTTCCTTTAAAATTTAATTTTTTTCTTCTTACTGCCCATATCATAAGGTTAGGATTACCCTTAAGACTTTTAAGGAAGTGTGACAATTTTAACAATGTTGTTTGACATTCTTTTCATCAAAAATGAAAAAGAAGTATATTTGTTGGTACTGATCATGTTAAAGCTGTCTTGGACTTTCTTGGATTATTATTTCATTTGAGTCATACATTGTCACTTTTGGTTCCATAAAGTTAATATATGAAGTTACAAATTCTATTAATTGAATATAGATCTCGTTTTCCAACAACCCTTCCCTCAAGAAAAGTGTCAAGACCGAAGATTAAAACGAAACAGTCATTTTATGGGAAAACAAAAAGCTTTAAATGTTTGTGTATGTGAGGATGTAGAAAGGAAAGAAGCTTTTATGAAATTAACAAATAGAAACTTGGGACATGGACTTAACTGTGATTACAGACCCAATTTTTCCTTGCCTGCAACAATACTGGCACTGTACCTCCTTAGAGTTGGAAATGAATGACTGGACTGAACACATGAAATTGTTTTTCTCTCTCTTCAACATCATTTTATTAACTGCCAAAGCAGCCTTTGCCCTCTCCACGAATCGAGGAAACCGCTGTCCTTCTGAAAGTGTTACAGAATTTTAACTACCGAGAAACCATAGCTGAGTTCTCCTAACGGGTTCTGCTTCACAGCCCACATAAGCAGTCGACAGCCTCATCCCGGGGCTCAGGCAAAGCAGAGCACAGGATCCATGTGCAGCGGCTCTTACAGGTGCTGGAATTTTCTGAGTTCATTTTCTGACCCATATTCTTGGCAGACCCTTGATCTTAGCACATAGCATGTGGTTCCTTCTGCAGTGTTTATCGCCTATCCCCAAGCTAGAGAATCCGACAAAAACTGAGCTCTCAGAAATAGCTGCCATCCAACCCACGGCAGCGGATGCAGGGTGTACAATTGCCCAGAAAGATTCCATCTCCCTGCTCTGTGGCCTCAGCCTCCTTTGTCTAGACTTTCTCATGTGCTGGGTCCCTGGAGAGCACTGCGTTTACTATTACCTTTTCTATTTTCGCAGGCAAGAACTCTTGAAAGTTCCTTTGGCTCCGGGCAGGAACTTTGCATACTGTACTCATTGTCTCTCCCTCTGTCCCTTCTTTTAAAGTCCTTCTCGCCTTTTCACCATGGCAGACTCTCGCTCCAAGCGAACTGTCTCCTCTGATGTTCAGGCGTCTTTCTATCTTTCTAGTGGACAGAAGGAGCCCTCCAGCCGCACTCCCAGGAGAGCAAGTCTAGCTGTACTGTGTGCTTTATCAACCCAAGCCCTGAGAGGGCCAAGTCTGCTTTGCACCTGGCTCCCCGTGGCAATGTGGAACAGTGGAGCCCACAGAGGAGGAGGCTGTCTCCGCAGCTTTGCCCGCATGCCATGCACAAGTCTTATGCCCAAAAGAGATTTGACTTGCATTTCTTACCACAAGAGCATTGGAAAAAACAATGAGCTTGTGCCTAATGTTGATTTAAAAGCTATTCTGAGTGCTTAAGCATTAAGGATCCATTTTTAGCTTTCTCAGATCCCTTGTGAAATAAAGCAGAAGGCGGAAAGGTGTTCGGATGATTGGATGGACACCTGCCACCTAGTCTGCACTCCCTTAATACTGGTCAAGGGCTTAGTATATTTAAGGAACCCTCACTCGCTTATTGCCACGTCCATCAGCTGCTCCTGTGCGTTATCCTTCAGAATTGTCTTTATCACCGAACGCAAACTCAAGTCTTACCTGAATTCTCACAACTCCCTGGTATTTCTCTTATTCTCACTAGTGCTAGCTCATCTTCTCTGCCATGGCTATGATGGCTTTTCTGGAATGAAAACCTGACCATGTCCTGCTTCTGCTTTAACAGCTTCCACTCATTCCCTATTGTCTACAAGATGGAAGCCAAAGGTAACCTCTAGAATCCTACAAGACCAGGACTTATGCAGCATGTATGTGGGTCCCACTTTGCACCCTGGCTTCCTTTCTCCCACCTTCTCCAGGCTCCCTGTGTTGCAGACACACTGGAGTTCTTACCAGAAAAGTCAGACTTGATTTCAAAATTCCAGTTTCTAACTCTATAAAAATGGGTCCAGAGTTACTCACTCCCTCTAAACCCCAGTTGCATCCTCAGTAAGGGGGCTGGTTGTAAAGAAGGCAGGTGGTAAAGATATAAGAGATTATGTCTGATATAACTCAGCCTAGAGCTAGTTCTCTATGTGCCCTCAAGATATCATTCCCTCTACTCAATACATCTTTCTCTTCTCCATGTGACAAACTCCTCTTGATCCTGCAAGACCTATATGATCTCCACTATAGTAATTTTTTGTTTGTTTCCCCCATACTGAGTGAGAGTTTTTCTTCTTTGGGTTCCTGCAATAACTCAGAGCAATTATTACATCATAATGATAGGATGATAAAACCCTTAGAATGAAAGCAATGTCTGCTTTCAATCTATATCTTGACTGGTTATATATAGTTGCTCAAAGACTATTTGTTGACTGGACATATAATGACTCTGTGCTGGACTCTACCTTACAGTTCTTCAAGAACCCACACTCCTGAAAGATCTAGGCCAAAGGACCCACACAAATAATCACAGTTTAATGAGCCTCATTGGAATGAAGGTTCAACAGGAGGCAGAATCAAAATATACTGAAGCCAGGCCTTCTGCAGACCTACAGGGAGGCAGGGAAGCCTGTGCCAGGCACGACTGGACATTGTGCCCAAATCTGAAGCATGTGTGTTGATTTAACTTCTGTTTTTCTTACCCTGCCCATATCTTCATTATTCCAGCCCCTCCCCATACCGCAGAGAGCCCTCAGTTTTGGTGGTAGAAAGCCAGCGAATTCTTAAACTTTGGCCAACAGTTCCCAAAAGATAACCTAAAATAGCAGATAAGGATTTTTTCATAATGAAATTCTAGTTTTGTTTATGCATCCTAAAAACAATAAATTATCAACTAATCAGCATATCTTTAAAGATGAAAACAAACTACTTGGAGAAGATAAAACTTTGAAAACTGTAAAGCTATAAAGTCTTGTGTTTTCATTATATACCTACCAGAGAACAGATATATTTTTTAGAATCTAAATAATTGGACTGCCCAAATGAAATTGAAAAATGATGAACCGTGACTTTTCAATCTATTTTAATATGATGTGGAGAGTAATTCCTGCCTTTTTTTATAACATAGGAGGATGTTCAATAAAACTTTGAATATAAGATTTTTTTTAAATAAAGGACTCTGTATTATGATGAGCAATGACAGTTTAGAAATGTTCGGTGCTGAAGCCAGAAGAGTACAACTATAAGTCAGAATTCTGCAGCACTGTCTACTTCTATCAGTTTATCGTTCTGATTGAAAAACTCTAACAAATATTGAAATATTTTCTCTCAGTAGCACTGATTGCAACATCAAAGACCCCTGTTTTGTTTCTGCTGAAGTCATCACATTGCTCCCCTGATGGCAAATATAGAGAATATCTTAATAGTGATAATGGTTTATTCAGTGTTCCCAGGGTGCCAGACAATTGGCTAAGTTTTATTTACAAAGTTCATTAGATTAAGCTTGCATTTTCCATTCTGTACATCACTGAAACTCGATTTACATCACACCATATATGCCAGAAGTGGAATGGAGTGAAAATAAAGTAGCCCAAGAGCCACTTGGAGAGCTATCCTGGAAAAACAAAATATCACATAAATAAAAATTGCATTTGTAGGAGTACATTGTTAGGGATTGTGGGTTTAGCTCAGTGGTAGAGCACTTGCCTAGCAAGCACAAGGCCCTGGGTTCAGTCTTCAGCACCAAAAAATTAAAAACAACAAGAAAAGAAAAGGTACAACCTTAAACCCTTGAAAGATTTCATTTTTGTACAAGCCAGGAAAAATTACCAGGCAGAAGATGTGGTCATCTTCATTCCACACACACTCTACATGCAGAATTTGTGAGTATTTTGGTTTCTCAAGCTGTCCCCTTTTTCCATGTGTTCAAATAGCAGATGGGATTTACAAGGACCTCCTGCCAGCTCTATCCAAGTCAGGGAGCTCAGAGCAACTTTTAAGGAGGACTCTTCTATCTGGGTCTATCACTCAGCTCTCACACCTTCAAAGTCGAAATGACTGATCCTTAAGACACAATATAAAACACTCTTCATTTGAGACAAACTGCCCCAAAAGACCATTTGTTGCTACTTTTAGGAATATAATCCTTTTCTCTTTTCTAATGTTTTAAAGGAAAATGTCATTATATAAAAACCTAAAGAGTTCAGTAGAGGGGCTCCCATGTGGCAGCTTTGCTAATGATCAACTCCTAGGTTAATATTGCTGCAGCTGCACCCGTCTCTTCTTAACCGTGTCAGATGTGTACATGGCTCCAAGATCAAATCTACAAAACTAATGTCATCTGAGAAATTCTGCCTCCATCTCTTTCACTTATCCACCCCACCCCCGTCTCTATGGATAGCCTCCCATTTTCAGTTCACTGTTTAACCCTCCCTTTTATTTATTTTTTTTCAAGCGCCTTGTGCAAATGTCCTAATGCTGAGCTACCTCAATGTCTCCCAGTCTTCTCTTGTTTTAAAAATGAGCAAATACATTTATATTTTAATTCCTTCTTTCTGAAATAAAACACAGTTCGTGTGATTTTGAAAACACTTGGAACAACTCTACCTATTCATGTTATTAATGCACTTTTAGGCCCCCAAAGCAAGCAATATAGTTATGTGTTTCAAAGTAAAAATTATGTGAGTGTTTTACAACTTGTAAAACCCTAAGGCTGTGATCGAGAGAGGGAAGAGGGAAGGCAGAAAATATTTTGATTTTTAAAATTGAAAAAAAGTAATAAAGGGTTTGGAGATTTTAAAACAGACTCCAGTGTTAAAGACTTGCTAAAGCAATCAGAGAATCTCCAAAAGGCATTTCTACAGTAAACATATTAGAAACAATTTTCTTTGAGTAGAATGATTTACTGACAACCCCTGCAACTGCTATTCTTTCTCACAGACCGAATTGCACAGAATATCATTAAGTCCCATTTGGAGACATGTCAGTACACCATGGAAGAGCTGCACCAGCTGGCATGGCAGACCCACACCTATGAAGAAATCAAAGCGTATCAGAGCAAGGTACTTGGAAACAATGAGATATTTCCCTGTGATACCCCTTCTGGCTTTCTCAGCTTCAGCACTACTGACTTCTTACATCAGGCCCGTCCTTATTCTAAGGGCTGTCCAGTGCATTCTGGGATATTTAGCAACATCTCTGGTACTATCCTCAAGCAATGTAATAGCCAAAACTGTCTCTAGGTATTGCCAAATGTTCCCCGGGAGGCGTAACTGCTCTGATTGAAAACCACTATTAGAGTAATCACAGAGATCTGTGCCTTTGTCAGATGGCTTTAAGACATCTCATGGTGGTCTCTGGGGTCCAGACAAGGGCCAGGAGCCATTGAGTAATTAGAACTGCAATAGCAGTCACAGACTTACATGGCAAAAATGCAGAAAAAGCATTCTAAATTTTTTTCTTGCCCTACATATCAAAAAATGGTCCAAGAAAAAAAGACATCTCCCTCTACATTATTAGTAGTAATGTGGTACACATTTTTTGTGTACACTGGAAATGTTGTACCGAGCTGTTGTTCAGTTTTCACATCACCTGACTTTGGGATTGAGACATTCATTTGTAAGATCTATCAGTTAATGAAATTTTAATTTAAAAATGTGTATGATTTAGACAACACTGGCTTTCCCCTAACAGAAAAGCTAACTCCTTTTATATAAACACAGGAACAAAGATAGACATTGCTATCATCAATAAAACAGAAGTAACATACATGGATTTAGGATACTCAATTTTCAAAAATCCAAATACAAGGTATTTGGGGGTTGTATGTTACTTAAAAGCATGATTTGGGGGCTGGGGGTTTAGCTTAGCGGCACAGCGCCTGCCTGGCAAGTTCAAGGTGGTGAGTTCAATTCCGGTATTGGAAAAAAAAAAAGCATGATTTGATTTTATTTGACTTGGTATCTTTTTTGGAATTTGTTTTATACAAAACAAAGTCTCCCTAGGTTCTGGAAAAAGAACACAACATACAAATATCATAAGTTTCATGTCCATGAGGTGCCCATGAAAATGACATGATGGAAGGAAGGCTGTGAATGCAATTGCTACTCTCAACCCAAGGGTTTATTTTTACACAGTGAGTTAAAATCTTGAGTTTGTTCCTGTGAGGAAGAAAAACTAGGAAAAAAAAAGTAAGTATCTTCACATACTATTAACATAGCCACAGTGTTTCCTCAATGGTGGCATAGTAAGGGAACATTTGGCAGTACCTACACTTAAGAAAAGACCCTAAATTAAAAAAGAAACATTACCTTGCTCTTCTAAAGGAATTGTATGATTCCCACCCGGAGCCCCACAGTACAGGCACGCACCACCAGGCCGCCCTGAGTACTTTGACCCGGTGAGTTGCTGGCCCTGTTTCCATGCTGCATCCTGTCTCCCGCAGTCCAGGGAAGCGCTGTGGCAGCAGTGTGCTATCCAGATCACACACGCCATCCAGTACGTGGTGGAGTTCGCCAAGCGGATCACAGGCTTCATGGAGCTCTGTCAGAACGACCAGATTCTACTTCTGAAGTCAGGTGAGCGAAGAGAAGTTTTGTGGGGGCTTACTTTAGGCCAGGGTGTGGTTGGCCCTTAGTTCTGGGATGGTTCTAGAGCATTCTCTTCCCAATAGGCAGCTCATTTTACCACCCACATTGTCAGCTAAATCCCAGAGAAAAGGCTCTGCAGTAAAAATGCCCTGATCCTCATTCCGTTTCCCTTTGAAGTCAAATACAATTTTGCTTATTGAAAGTGGAGCTATTAATTGCGGAGGTTGAGATACCCAGCTTGACAGGCAGTGCAAATAATTAGTGTGTCAAGGTGGCTGAGTTGCTGAGCTGGCACTAAAATTTACTCCTTGCCTTCTGTAAGGGGAAAAATTGCAGGCTAGCTGAGCTCTGCCTCTGTGGTCATTTCCAATCACTTTAATGAGGATAGCCTGCAGCCAGGGTATACTGGGAGAAGCTCTGCTGAGCTCTAAGCTTTCCCTTCCCTTCTCTCCTACACCCCACCACACACACTATCACTCAGGAAGAAACCCCAAGAAACTCTGCATATGATTGACTTAGCCGATGCTATTACCTCACAGGAAGAAAGATTACTTGTGCCTTTCTTGGGTCCCTTTGAAAACAGACAATAGGAACATCGTGGTGTTTGTGATAATCTTCTTGGTTCTCATCCGTGAATATTGATAATATTAGCATCCTTTTTATATATGATAATATAGGCACATATTTTCATTGTTACCTATGACATTGCATTTAGTCTTATGAAATTGGTATTATTTCCATCTTAAAGCAAAGGAGACTGAGATTCATAGAAGTGAAACGATGTGTTCAATATCACAAAGCTGATACTAACCTGATATGAAACTTGTACCAAATATAGTTGTTTTTAAAATGTTGCTTTTGTTTTGCCAAGTAATGCAAATTAGTGAAAACTTTGACTCCAGCTCTAATTTGAATGTTATAGTTATCTAACAAGCCTAAAACTTAGTCAAAACAACTATTTCTTTTCCTCTCAAAGCTACCAGGGGGCAAGGCTCAGCAGGAATGACTTATCTCTGCTCCAAATGATGGCCATCAAGGCAACTCCACAGGGGCCTGGAGGATCCACTTGTAAATTGGCTTGCTCACCTGGCTGGCTAGCTATGCAGGTTGGCAGGGTAGAGCTTATCAGAGGCTCTGGGTTGGGGGCCTCAGCCATTCTCCTTGTGACCTTCTCCACAGACTACTTGAACTTCCTGCTACACAGATGCTAGGCTCCCAAAGTATCCTTTCAACAGAATAAGGCAGAAGTGCGTGGATCTCTCTGATTTAGCCTCAGAAGTCAGAGTGTTAGTTCTACCATAGTGAATCAGTCAAAGCATTCACAAAGGCCTGCCTGGGTCCAAGGGTGGCAGATGTGGATTCTACTTCTCGGGAGGGGTGTGGTAAGTCTAGGAAAGCATGTGAGAGGCAAGATATCATTTGACTATAGAGGCAAGATATCATCGTGACTCTCTTTGAAAAATAGAATTTGCCCCCACTTGATGTATGAGCTTGAGCTAACCTCTCAAGATGGCAGTTTCTTCATTTGTAAAATAAAGAGATGGCCTAGAAGCAATGAACTCCAAGCTGGGAACTGCACCAGGAACACTGCAGGAGCTTGCTGAAAGGCCAAGGGCACAGGCACCATTGCAGACCATGGAATCCAAATCTCCAAGGGGGGAACACAGGCAATTATATTTCTAAGAGTAGGATATCGCCAATCCATGGACTGATCATTCAGGAACCAATGAATCATATAATCTTTAACATCTCCCCCTGCTGTGAAAATTTTCACTCTGGTGTAAGAGGCAGGCTATTCAACCTCTTTAAAACTCCTGTAACTTATTCATGATATAAAGCTAATAAAATTGGCCCAAAATGGTTAATGCACCGAGCAAATATGATAATGAATGTAAAGAGACAGAAAAGCACCTTCCATGGTATATATACTCAATAAATTATATCTATCCTGTTGGTGTCAGAAAAGCATTGCTCCAATTAATCTTTACAAATCCTCTCCTGTGTAGAAGCCCCATATGCTAGGAGCAAAGAGAAATCAGTAGAACAAGGGAAATTAAACAGAGACATAAATATAAAGTAATGCAATAGGGAAGGCACCAAATCACTGGTAAAATGATCTCATGTGAATTTGTGGCTTGAGAGTCTGACAGTCACCTTCCATTATACTATGAGACACAAGCCCATTTCTCCAAACTAGAGAAACTGTGCAACACTAGCTCCTTACTATGTCAGTAAGTGTTCAGAGAGGAAAACAAAGGTAATAAATGAATTCACGTAGTCAGTGTTGTTAACCACTGACTTTGTAGCGGGGCATTTTCTCATTCCCAGATATACAGAAATAAATGTAATAACCACAACAGCCTATTGCTACAGACAAGGTTCCTGGCTCTCAGGATGACAGTGAAGGTTTTAAAAAGTGCTAAATTCATCCAGATTAATCTACCCAAGACCTCTCAGAACCTTTGGTCTGTGAGTCTAGATTATAACTCACTGGGGTGAGATAATTTAGCATTTTGCCAAAACTTACTTGGCAAAGACACTTGTTTCCAAGGGCACCAGATATGAATGGTACCCCAGTCAAATAGAGATGGAGTGTTTTTTTTTTTATTTTTGCTTTAAAGAGAAAAAAAACTAACAAAACAACAACGAAGACAAACACAAAAACAACAAAACAATACATGACCTCAAAACAAAATGATAGGAATTAACAATGATTGCTACACTACATAATGTTATCTTCAACAGAGTTGTTCAGCCTACCAGATGTAAGAGTGCAAGATTGATCAAACAATCAGAGACCAATGGAATTTCTATTCAAAGTCATCCTGTGCTGAATTATGCATGGAGCATGTTAGGTAAAACAAAATCCATGTTTCAGGTAAAACGGAGAACAAGTTTCTCCAATAGCAGAACTTCTACAGAAGTGGACAAGGGCGCACCCACCTGACACAAAGTTCCTTTCTGAATCACTTGTCATCAATTACAACTTCAAAAACTAAAACTAACTTTAATGTTATTCAATGTGAGGAGAGAACTGCTTCCCCCAAAGGATGCTGTTTGTGCCTTCCATTTTAGCCACCTAGTATATATTCTCTTTAACTCTTTACATAAGCATCAAGAGAGCTTTATTTCTGAAGTAGTTATTTAGGGGAAGGAACCTTAAGGGCTGTTATTCCTATGTGTCTGTATGTTTCTGTATGTGTTTGGATGTGTATTAAAGTTCTGAAGAGTCTCCTAACTTACACAGAGTTGTGACTAGGACAAATATGTACATGGTTTTCATTTTTTAACTCAGGTTGCTTGGAGGTGGTTTTGGTGAGAATGTGCCGTGCCTTCAACCCGTTAAACAACACTGTTCTGTTTGAAGGAAAATATGGCGGGATGCAGATGTTCAAAGCCTTAGGTAAGTTACCCTTGGAGGATGGCACAATTTCGTTAGCTGCATCTGCTTCTCCTTGTAGACTGAAATTGGCAAATGAAATTTTCTGATTCTTCAATGTGAGCTGGTATCTCATTATTCAGTAAGAGTTGGACCAAGAGAACCTCCAATATTTCATCCAACTCTTCTATTTCTACAATTGTAGCTCTTTATAGGAAAAAGAATGAACTACAGGCCCTATTGAGAACTCACGGAAGTAGATTGATGCTAAAAGTAAAAGCGGGAATGCATTAGTGATCATTCATTGTAAATTCAGCTTTTATGTTACTTTCTGGTTTGCTGCTTCACACAGTATAGTATACAGATCTCCAATGGTCTATGGGGTGATGGCTTAAGTTTCTTATGTAAATCCCTACTCATTAGTCAAGACACTTAATTAAAAGAGGGCTTTTTTCATATATTTCTCACTCATAGCATCAATTTTCTGCCAGTAAACTCAGAAGTCCTGAGGCAGTGCTAGAGCTGGTGTTCACCTGGTCAAAATTAACCCCGACCTCTCTTGGGGTGGCACCAGCACCATTGGCCTTTGCTTGGAAGTACTGTGTGTCCCCACCTCCGGTCGTCAGTGTGCTGCATGGATCAGAAGGACATTAGCAAAGATGGACTGATGCCAGGAAAGGTTTAGATGATTCCCAGTGCTACTTGTTCGGTATCCTGCCCAAGAACACCGAAGAAGCCCCTGCCCTTTCACCTCTTGTGCTGTTAGCTGATACGGCAGCCAACAGCAAGCCCATCAGGACTAGCAATGTTTCCTTCCTACAGCTGATACCCATCCACACTGTCGCCAGGGCTAGATTTTCAAGAGAGAAGAAAGAGCCTTGGCAAGCAACTTCAGTATATTTCCAGCTTCATCAAATAAACATTTACCAAGGATCAGTGAAGAGATGCAACATTATTTTGCCAAAATTCACAATGACTAAGCAACTGACCTGCAAGCCATCCATTAGAAATTAAAAATAAATAAATGATAGCTCTTCTGTCAGCTTTCCAGGGAAATTACCAATTGAGAGGTAGCTCGCTTCCATTCTGTAAGAAGTTTCTGACATTTTAGCTTAAAAGCCCTGGACACCTTACACAGCTAAGTTTAAGTGTCACTAACACCAGGAGTCCTCTGCCCTTATATGTAATGATTTAGATTTTCCATGAGTTTTATCTCTATTCCAAAAGATCCACAAATCATTTATTTACAAGTTTTTAATGATAGATAGTTTCAGGTTGATAAGACAGGATTCGGATCTTGGACTCCCAGCTACACGTCACATTGTCTACAAACATGTTGATTAGCTCATGACTGGTAATCATTTCCTCATTCTATAATTAGTATCAAGTTATTTTATATGGTTAAGAACTTAGGAATGCCTTTTCTAGATGTCCAGTATGCAAATCCTTAAATAACTTCTTGATAATAAGACTTCCTTCTCTTCCACAGTTCTAAGTTCAAGTACTTCAATTTAATTTTTCCTTTTCCTTTACAGGTTCCGATGACCTAGTGAATGAAGCATTTGACTTTGCAAAGAATTTGTGTTCCTTGCAGCTGACGGAGGAGGAGATTGCTTTGTTCTCATCTGCTGTTCTGATATCTCCAGGTAGGGAGGCCTCAGGTCTTACCTTATTTTCAAACCTGCTTTACTATGTTTAACATCAATTATACCTATGGAGGCCAAAGTGTTCAACAAAAACTTCAAAATAACTATACTTTCCTTAGCAGGTTTTCCATATTTGGGGGCAATGCAAAGGAGAGTAGTTTTAAATTTATTAAAGTGATGATTTTGCCCCAAAAGAAAGAGTAGAGGATGTTGCAGGCATCATGCCAGATCCAGGTAAATGAAATTGTTCCTTAGGAAATAAGTGAAGACAGATAATAGTCTGAGTTCTATTTCGACTTTAAGAATAAAGGACAGAGGAAAAACGTCTAGTGCAGTGAAACTTGTAGAAATATAGCTAAATGAAAGACCCAACCTAGGGACAAAATAAGCAAATATCTTTCGTTGCCTGCTTTTCTACCCAAATTAATATTGGAATGCTCACTTCAGGCAATTAAAAGTGCCTTTTTTCTTAAGAATATTAGGAGATTTAAAGAGAAATAAGGACAGCTGAGGGATAAATGGCTTCTACACAACTTCCTGGTGGAAAAAGCATCTCAGACATGGAAGTACACAGTCTAGCACCAGCTCTATCATCATTTATCTGTGGGACCCTAAATACTTGATTTCTCAGAGCCACACTTCCCACAGTAATAAATAAGGGGATTAAACTCTATATATGGAAAACTTCTTCCTGGTCCTAAAATTCAATAAAAGACCAAAAAAATTTTTAAAGGAGATGTGATGTTTATAGATCAACCAGAACTATAGCTATTGAAATACTTTTATAAATCTGTCAGTTTGAAATGTAACAATAATATAATCATAATAATATAATCATAATAATATAATAAAACAATATGACAATAAATGCATACCCCTTCAACCAGAATGAAAATTCAGACTCACTCAACTGTTTGGTTAGATTTTGAGTCAAGTGACAGCAACATCTTTGGTAAGTGTCTACTGAAAGAAAAACACATTCCTGTCTAATTTTTAAGGTCAGAGATTCATTCTTTCTGTAATCCATTTATCTCTGGAGATAGATCTCTTTTCTTGTAACCTATTTTTCAGTGAGGCTGGAGGAAATCAATCTTACATGTAGTGTGAGATTACACCTTGTATCCTTAACATGTCATTCAAGCTATATTTACCCATAATACCAACTTCTATAGGTTTTTAACAGGTAGACACTGTTCTTCCTAATATAATCCTTGGCGATCTGATTGGAGTTAGTCTAGCTTCTGTTTTTTATATAACTACTTCATCAAAAATGAAAATTACTGATCATATGAAGTGTTGTTACTAATGGTTTCTTTAATGTATCTATCTAAAATCAGCCTGTTCCCATGGTCTACACACATGCATACACACATGTACATGTAAGTTTCCCAGGCCTGGAAGCACAAATAAAATGAGTGACCATAAAGGCTTATTTCTGATAACAGCCATAGGCAAAATACTATTTCTCCTACCCTTTTCTCATTGCACTTGACGGTTTTCATTCAGTACATCTCACTGTGAGACTGAGTCTATGCCTGTGGGTCTATGAACGATAGAGACAGTTTCTCTCTGGTTCTTGCTAGCTCAGAGAAGAGCCCTATACAGAATCATTCTCCTCTTTTGGTATCTTTGTAGAAGTTTGTAAATTCATGGAAGCAAAAATTGAACAGGTTATATATCAAACTTGAATGTGACAAGAGAATGACTGCCCTGATGGAAGCTAGCCTGGTCTTTATAAGTTAGAAATCAGCTGAGCTTTTTAGCCTTTGTCTCACAGGACATGCCATGGTTGAATTTTGTGCAGTTTAGAAGCATAAGATCTGGCTTACTCTGCCTGATGCAGTCCGCCAGCCTTGGGAGCAGACCCATCCTCAGAGGCTTCATAACTCCAAGCACCTCCTTTGCCACCCTGGCTTGGTGCCATATTCAGAAGGAGATGGTGGCTCCATCTTTGGCCTGTGTCCACTTCATGCCAGTCCCACCCTTTCCCAGATCCTTGATTCAATAGCCACTATCTATTCAGCTTCAGATAGCTTAGAGAAGGGAGAAAGAGGGAAGCTTTAATTTATTCTGATTGACAATTGTCACTGAAGGCCTTTGTGCTCACTTACGTAAGGGTTTGCTTAACTTCTGGCTGGACTCATCCTTGCCCTGTGTAGGGTTACAGAGTCAGGTTTCTCACCTGACCTGAACTGTATTCAGGAAGATCATGTCCAAGTTCTTTTCCATAAGAATTTGTTCAGCCTTTGGAGATTCCAGGCATCCCTTCATTGAAAACCCAAACAATGACATTGATACTGGTCTGCACTTTGTCACCAGGGTGTATGAAGCTTCTGGGCTTAAAGGAAGAGCAGGAGGAGGAATGAAGAAAAGATGTATGGGAAAGTGAGAGAGGAAGGAAAAGAGGGAGGGAGGGAAGGAAAAGTTACCTTATCTACCAGTTAAAAATGCAGTATAGAAATGCAGAATTCAGGAGTAAATTTTTGAAATCAACTCATGTTTGTGCTATATAAATTACACCATCACCTTTATATATGATGAAAGAATAATATAAGAAAAGGAAATCCTGAATACCAATAATATTCCTGTAAAATAGGATTTCTTGACTTCTATAATCCATTTTCTGTACAAATTGCTAATGTCCACTTTGAAAGAAAATCTAAGTATCTGTCCAGAGGAAGTCAGAGAAATGTGAACTGTCAGACACCATAAGAAACATGAAGGGGTTTATTGTGTCATTTCCTCCAGAGATTACATTTTTGCCTTCCATTTTGCATCACTGGCACCATGGTGTTATTGCTTATAAAATATTTATGTTTTATATAAATAATTACAAGTCTTCACAAGCAATTTAGAAGTTTAGAACTAAGTAATTTGGAATGGGTCTGAAACTCAGCACTTACATAAGTAGGTGAGATAAAACAAAACCTGTGTTCCCTCCCTTGCTTATCTTTTTATTGTTCTTGTTGTTGTTAGACCGAGCCTGGCTGATAGAACCAAGGAAGGTCCAGAAACTTCAGGAAAAAATTTATTTTGCACTTCAACACGTGATTCAGAAGAATCACCTGGATGACGAGACACTGGCAAAGGTAGGTTCTCAGATCACAAACCCACCATCACCAAAAGAGGGTAGTGAATGAGAGGGGCCTGGGTACAAAGCAAGGAAAATCTCTCAGTGGCAACAATTTCTGAAAGCTATTTAGGGCTGCATAAATTCTTAGACGTGTACTTTTAAAGGGAGGATGGTAAATTATGATCGGTTGAGAGGCGGTGAGCTTTCTTAGAGAAGGTTGATACTGACAGATCTGCACCTGAGGCGCCAGAGGACAAATCAAAGATACTGTGGGTGTCTCATCAGAGGAATGAAAGTCTAAGGTCAGGAAAAAAGGCTTCAGATTCATATGTGAAGATAGAGGCTTTGCGCCAGCTCAGGAGCAAGGTCTGGGCAAAAGTTAAGAGTAAATAGATTTTTATTCAAAATGAGAAAGAAGCAGCAAATAGTGAGACTTGTTGACCAGAAGGATAAATGACTGTACGAAGTAGCAAGTCCCCCGTCTCCGGTCACAGGCTGGGAATTCCTGCCTGGTCACCTCTCGGGTATATTGAAAATAACAGTCAGAGCCAGAATGGAAGGTTAGACTGATGACATAAATTTCCCTTCAACTGTAATCTCTTCGTGCATGACTTGCCTTGGGAATCTTTCAAGATAGTGAAGCATCGCTGGGACAAAATGCATGCAGCCTGCCATTGGTTTCTCGGCTTGGCTTTAATGAAGAATAGCGAAGGCTGTGAGTTCCAGAAGAAGTAGTTTACCAAAGTAAAATGATCATAAGAGGAAGAAGTAATGTTCAATAATTGATGGCCAACATTATTTTAAGTCCTCATGTAACTCTAATTTCTTAAAAACTAGAACTTGTTTAGAAAGACAGTGTTATTTTAAATTAGATATTAAATCAATTTTTTAACGTGCAGGGACTATTTTAAATTTTCTCTGACCTCTTAAAACTGGACTTGTAGAGGGTAAGAAACTGGGAAATTGAGCTTATTCTTGGTTAAAAATAGTAGGAATCCTACTCTTTATATTTTTATCATTAAGCCTTCCCACTCTGCCCTTGAAGTTCTTTATTTAAAAAGGGGGAGGAAGGGTAAAGACTATTTGGAGACATCATCAGATTTTACTTTGCACATACAGAGAACTGCTATAAAAAACCTCCATGAGTTAAATATACTGCTTCATTATGGTAACATTTTGTTAAAATTAACGCATCACTAGGAAGAACATTTCTGTGCTCACTGTACAGTGATAGTTCTGTTTGACATAACTTTCCATTTAATATGTGATGAAGGACATCTAACGTGTTGCATATACCTTAATTTTGTCTCAGTCAATAGCAAAACTTCAACTTGCTTTCAGACTCACTGGGCAGTAAAGATCATAACATGAAGATGTGTATGGTCTCTATAGTTGCCTGGTTGCATATATGCATAAATTCATTGGGTGATTAATGTGGAGGGGTGTTTCTTGCATTTAGAATCTCCCAAGGACTTTGGCCTCTATATTTATCATGCTAAAGTTAAGGTCTTAAAAGAATAGAGTTAGAGGAAAGTTCTTGCTCTTTTGCCTAGAAAGATAGTTTGTTTGCTCAACAAGCCTGGTCTCTAACATCTATAGAATGATAATTACAGTTTCTTGGCCCTGTACAAATGTGTTCTGAGATTGTGATGGTTACATCCTAGGAAGGTAAAATGTTCATGCTTATTCCATTTTCTATATCCTGGTGTCCTGGTGGTGCTGTGCTTGAGATTTTAGAAAAATGATAGAAAAGTGAAAAATTAAAAATACTTGATAGCAAATTACAACACTGACTACAGGTCACCCTAACTCTCCCTTCTCCATATTTAGTGGGAAAAATATACAACACTGTTGTTGTTGTTGTTGTTGTTTAAATAAGGGACAATATTGCAAATCTGGGGATGAGATAAACATTAAAAGAGGCTCATTTCCTGCATAAAACAGCTTGGAGCCAGGTGACAAAGGATTGCTTCCATGAGCTACGTGCAGATATTAGATTTTTATATGCACCCTTTTTTGTAACAGTCATCATTTTACCATGATGCTATTTGAACTAATGTGGAGGGACTAGAAGCAGAATCACAACTTGATCTCATGCATCTCAGATCTGAATCGTATGGGTTCAGGTAAGGGATTGGGGATTCTATTTGTCTGAGTCTCAGACTGTAATAAAACACTAGAGGTGGAGGTGAATCTCTTAGGTTCCTGACTGCTTTAATATTCTGAGGACAAACACATTATCAGTGCGTAGTACACAACATCAGCCAGTTTTCCTTTACTATGACAAATTACCTGACATAAACAAGTTCAACAAAGGAAGTTTTACTTCAGTGCACGGTTTCAGAGATTTCATTCTGTGGTTGGTTGGCTCTGTGGTTTGAGGGCCTGTGGTGAAGCAAAACATCATGGCAGGAAGGATGTGATAGGACAAAGCTACTTACCTCATGGCAGCCAGGAAGCAAACAGAAAGGAAGAAGCCACGGTCTCCATATCCCCTTCCAAGGTGGTTCTACCACCTCTTGATAGGACCAAGGGACAGGGACCAAGTCTTTAGTGCATGGGCCTCTTTGGAACATTTATAATGCAAACTATTACAGACTCCCTATCATTGAACTCCAAAAGGGATTGTTTCATTTAAACCCAAAGGAAACTATTCTATCCCACCATGGCTTCTTGTCATCTTTTAAGAAAAGCTCCTTATACTTTGATAGTTATGGAGCTTTCCTGCCACCATCATAGCTCTTAGACCATGATGGGCAATGTTAACATCTCTTATTCAAGGAACCCTTGAGGAACAGCATGAATATTATAAAATCTATCTCTACAAAAAGCACACATGCCTAAAATACCGAATTAAGTCCAGAGGCTCAGGTGAAACCTCTGGTAGCCTGGGGGAGGTAAATCCTCCTCTGTGTAACGCACAAGGGACTATTTGACTGACCAGTTTGAGCCTGACTCGATGCAACAGACATCATGATGCAGGTATAAGGCTCACACTGTCACTGAACTTCATCCTAGAAAAACAGACTCCAACACATCACTTCCTGAAATTAAAGTTTCGGAAGCAGTGCTTATATTGCTTGACCAAACTTTAACCTAGGGAAAGTTTGGAACTTCAGGGATTCTGTGTCCATTAGCTAGGAAGTTTCAGTCCTCAAATATTAATCAGTTTTTTGGATGAGGGGGATTGAGAGTAGGAAAAAGCACTAAATATTCACACTTCTCTTCTCATCGGCATGATAATGATATGTAGCTTATTTATAATAAGCTTTCAGAGTCACCACTAGCTGAGTGACCCTGGACCCCTGATTCAAACGCTCTGTCCCAAATTGTTCCCATCTGTATGACATGATTAAGTTAGTACCAATGTCATGTGATTATTTTGGAGACTAAATAAGATAAAATATAGGTAAGCTACCCAGTCCATAATTGGTAATATGCAAATACTATTGCTATTATGATACTAGTTGTTGGCATTAACAGAAGATTGAGATGATCTTCTGGCTCCAAAGTTGCAGAGGGTACCACATTTATGAAATGTTATTTCGGCAAGGAAATGTTTGTCTGAGAGGTGGGCTCTATGAACTAATCACTGAAGGATGAAAACCTTCAAAAGATGGAAGTTAGGAAGTTGGGAAAGTGATAGGACGATGGTGGGAAGTAGGAAAGTATAAGGTATATTCAGACTATAAATAATAGTTAGAGTTGGCTGGATACTGGATTTGAGGAGCCAGGAAATGAGATAACACTGGTCACTTTCACTAGCGCTCATGAAAAATATCTATATACATATATATTTTTAAGCCCCCATATGACTAGAAGAGGAAGCCCATCTGTTCTCTGGGCTTCATTTTTCTTGTCTGGGAAATGAGTAGGTTGGATTACATAGTCTCTAAGGTCCTTTCAGTAGAACATTCTTTGATGCCCAAAAGAAAAAACAAAGGTTCTTCTTCACATCTTCTTTTGCCTCCCAACGCTCAGTCCTGTTTTACCACTTTACATGCTGATGAAGACTGATTTCGCCACATCTTGCAGATTCAAATGATCGTTCTGTGCACCATGGTCATTTCCTTTGAGATGATCTTCCAGCCCCAAAGTTGCCGAGGTTTCACATTTATGAAGCCAGTGCCCAGAAGTCAGCGTCTCTGTCGGGCTCCCAGAAGGACCTCCATCTGCATGGGCATCAAGGGCTGCTACGAGTCATCTCGATGGTTTTCTTCCTAGCTGAGGCCTTACGGAGATTTAGAACCCTTGTGCTCTTCTTTGCTCCGCTGAAAACAGCAGCACCACTGCTGGGCCAGGCAAAGGAGGGAAGTCCAGCATAAACAACTGTGCAGACCGTTGGTGCTGCAGTTCTCTGGTTTTATGGGCTTCCTTTATAAGCCGCTAAAATTGCCTTCTTCTTGCCCTGACAAGAAAGACAGAAGGAGGAGAGAGGAAGAGCAAAGCTTGGATCTGCATGTCTGGCTCACATCTTGCTTTCAACTCTGTGTTTCCAGCTGTCTCCTAAGTGCAGCTTTTGGGTCAGGCCAACAGCTAGAGATGTCTTTGATGTAGACCTTCTCCAGCTCAACCTTTCCTCCAGGTTGACGCTTCTTCCTGTGCCTCCTGGGTAAATAGAGTCCAGAAATAATGTTAGGTAGTGCACTTGTTTTTCCTAGCACTACTGCATGCAGAAAGAACACTCCTGGAGTTGATTTCTTGCCCAACACTGTGTAATAGTAAATTCATTAACAATACCTTTACACCTCAGACCCCAAAGCCCACTCAGCATTCATATGCAGGCTGGGAAGGAATGTTGCTTTTTATCTTGCCACAGCTATAGCACTTTGATAAGGGCGTTCACATCTCTTTCACATGTCCAAATGCTCGACACTTGCCATGTCCTGCACGTCTCAGCACATCACACTTCTGGGTGGTTTTAGACCCACATTTGTGTGCGATGAATCCTTTCAAATTCTTCCAGAATATGAGCCTGGCATCAGAGGCAGGGAGGCTGAGGCAGGCAGATGACAA